AAGGGTCATTACTAATATTTTCTAACCAAGCCTTTTTAGGTCTTTCTCTACATTTCTTAACATAAGTCAAATCTAATACCTCTACTCTCCTAACTGGGTCATTGGAAGGCTGCCGTTTCATGTGACCAAACCATCTAAGGCGACTCTCTCTAATCTTATTTTCTGCTAGAGCTACTCCAACCTTTTACAAATATGCTCATTTCGTATCCTATCTCTAAGGGTAATGCCACTTATTCATCTGAGCATCCTCATCTCTGCCACACTCAACTTAGTGTTATGCATCCCTTTTAATGGCCAATATTCGGCACCATAAAGCATTGCAGGCCTCACCACCATCTTATAGAATTTTCCCTTGAGTTTGAGGGGTATTTTTCTATCACACAACAAGCCCGATGCATTCCTCCACTTCAACCATCAAACTTGAATTCTGCTGATAATATCCCCATCTATTTCATCATCATTCTGAACAATAGATCCAATATATCTAAAACATGTACCCTTATTAATGACTTGATCGCCCAAAGTCACAATCCTCTCACTAGGTCTATTACTATTAAAATTACACTCCATATATTCCGTTTTAGATCTACTTAAACAAAAATCTTTAGACTCTAAGGTTGATCTCCATAATTTATTTTGCTGACCCATTAAGTTTTCTAACCCGATATCAGCTCTCAACCCGTTAATCTACGAATGCTGGACCCATTGATATGCTCAAGTGGCAGAACTAAGTATTGTAAAGACCTGAACGACTACTTCAAGCTTTTCCAAAATTTGACTTTACATCTACTAATAGCCGTAATTAGAGAAATAATCCTTTTTTTGTGGGGATATATAATTAAAAATATCTCTCTGATATTCAAGAAGGGGCGGAACCAACTTCAATTTTGAGAGGGGCAAGTACAATACAAAAATAATTAAATATTAAATATCAAGGAGGGGCAAAAAAAAATTTCTCTCCTATAAAAAAACAATTTTTTTTTTGAGTGGGGCAATTGCCCCCCCTAACCTTAATGTGGTTCCGCCACTGTATTCAAGAATTGTTTATTGAAACCTCCATAAATGAACTTAGCTCAAATAAGATTTGAAGTAAGCATCAAATAAATTTCGAATAAGTCTGGCATTGTAGCCTATTTGAACATGGTTTGCATAATGTTTGAAAGAGGGTTTGAACAAATTTCGAGTAAGATTATGGGTTCGTTTGGGGCGATTTTTTTACTACTTTGTAAAGTTATTTTTAGTACAAAAATCTCTTAAAAGAAGAGAAAAAATAATGTTCTAAAGATGTCTCAAACAAAACCTATAACATATTCAAACAAAGTTCAACCGCAATTAGAGGAAGGTTTGAATAAGGATAGAAGAAGATTGAAATATAATTCCAACATTATTTATGGTTTGAACGTGTAATGCCACAAAATAAAATTTGAAAGAATTATTTATTTTATCTTCTTAATTAATCAACCAAATCTTCTAAATAACAAATATGTATATCCAGAAAAAACAACTAACAATTACGTATCTCAAAATATTACACTATATTTATTCTCCCAAAATCAATATACAATAACCAAGAGATTAGTATAATCACTAATCTATCACTAACTCTTTACTAAAAAAATAAAAAATACAAAACAAAATCTAAAGGAAATATGAGGATCACTATCAATCTCACTCCAACTGGTCCTGGTGTCTTACCTGACCCAAAATCATTCAAATTATATATAATGAGCTAAAAAGCTCAGCATTAAACACAAACTCTATCACTGTTTTCAATGTAAGATAAAAGAATCAATATGTATGTTTCAGTTCTAGTCAATATCAATCATCATTTTATATAAGTAATAAAAATCTTCAAAAATTAATAATAAAATCAATATATTTAATGAAGTCAAAAGACATATGGTAAAGAATAATATAATCCAATGAATCATGCCAGTATGATATACTATGTTATATAATTGGTATTGACTAGTTGAGGTGCATACGTATCCAACACAATAAACTCCACCTCATATTGCATTACTATCTTGTCCAACTGCAACAATCTCATGAAAGCCTCCTGCATCTATTGTCAGGCTAACGGAGGAACAAACCAGTTTTTGAAGATAGTAAAATACTCTATCCAAGTGATCTCTTCATTCATCTTTCCTTGAAATTTCTCTCTCTATTATCAATCCACCATCTCTCAGCTTTTCCTTCAAATAGGAACATTACAAGTGGTACTTTTCGATTCTCTAGGCATTGCACATTGTTAAATGTCTTCTCTATCATCAATAACAAGTCCTTTGCTGCCTGTGGCTCTACAGCTGCCTTGAACAATAGTGACTTCAACTAATGGAACATATGTAGTTGTCTGTCTTCTTATGATTTCTTGTATCCCAATTGTCTACTATGAGTATCACTCATAGCCTGTGCAAGCATACTAGCTAGCTGCATCAAACTGTTAGAATTCACTGGAGCTGTTAATGTTGCACTCTATCCATTATATGTATCATGATCGGTAGGGTCCATATAATGCATTTTCGGGTTTTTAAAAATTATAGAAAAATATTTATAAAATAAATTATTTTATTTAGAAAATATTAATGAAATCGGTCTGCAAAACGTATACCTGATGGTCCCAAAATTCTTACTTATACAGACACATGTCAATTTCTTAAGGATTTGTACTAGTGCATGAAAATTATGAAAAAAAAAATGGTAATTAAAATACTACAATATAAAAGCTATGGTGAAATCAATTTTCAATTTTGGCTTAAAATAGCTATGAAAAATTTTCATTTATTTTTGGATCAAAATATAGGCTATTATAAAATAAGCTATAACATATTATATACTTAGATTAATAATGTATACCCAAAATATTTATAGGTATTTGATTCAGTTCAAGTTGGATATACCCAATAAAATTAATCTAAGAACTTATCGAGTTAACAACAAAATCGTGTGAGTCACTATAAAGTCAAGTCATAACAAACCCATCAAATTAACCTATATGCACTTGTGTAAACTTGGGAACTCATGATGGAAGACATCCCAACATGTTGCGACTTCTCTCAAAAAAGTTAGCATCCTCTCCCGATAAGTTAATAACTTCTCCTAGCAAGTCAGTGACCTCTCCCAGAAAGTCCATATCTTCTCACAACAAGTTGATGACCTCTCCCAAAAAGTCAATGACTTCTCTCAATTGGTTGATAACTTCAATCCGTAGGTTAGCGACATCAGCAATCGAGATGATGACCCAAATTAGGGGTTGTCCATGTGCCAAATTACTCACATGTATTTCATATATATCAATTATATTTGGGGTGATATATTTTAGGCTACACATTTCACATATCTACATATATTATTGTATTTTGTATAACTTTTCAAATAGCCCCCTCAATACCCTATAAATATGTGATCAAATGGCCATTTTAGACTTACAATAATATCTACAATAAATTGGATAATTTGAACAATATAAAAAATCTGATCTCTCTCTCTCTCTCTCTCTCTCTCTCTTATCCACTTGAATCTTATGAGCCATGCTAATAAGATTGAGTGTCACCCAAGGATAAATTTGCATCTGCATCCACTTAGTGCAGTGAGCATGGGCTAATGCTAAAGATTAAAAACCTATCATTGTGAGAAGCTAATATGTAGAATAGAGAAGAATTCGTTAACATAAAAATTTAGATATTGTTACCAATAAATAACCAGCTCAAGAAAACTCGCAAAGTACTTATGGAACTCGCACCTCCTTTAGAAAAATTTTCCTTCTATTATTTAAAAAAGAAAAGTTGAAAGTAAAAGAAATTAGAGTCATAAGAACAACTTTTTAAAAAACTTGATTAAAAAATTTCAATATCAACTCTTAAGTTCGAAACTGGCCAGCTTGGTTCAAAGAAGTGGACAGGGAAGGCTTATATCCATTTTGGAGAAGCTTATTTTCTAAATAAATGCTAATCTAATTAAGTAAAAGGTTTGACTAACTGATATAATTGATTTAAAATAAAAGAATTAGCATAAAGAAATTGCCCAAATTTAAAACTAAAATTTACTTGCACATGCTTAACAAATTTAGGCAATGTTTAAATTTGCTAAGAGAAACTATCTTGGTAGTAATGTCTATTGGATTGTCATCTCTAAATATTTTTACAAGCTTTACTACACCTGTATTTACAAAATCATGAATGAAATGATAACAAACATCCACGTGCTTTGTCCTTTCATGAAAAACTAGACTTTTACGCATATGTAAACCACTATGATTGTCTATATAAAATGTGACGATGTTATGAAAATACCAAGCTCGATAAGCAGACCATGTAATCAAATTGATTTTTCATTAGCTTGTGTCGGTGCAATATACTCTGCTTCTGTTGAAGATAAGACCTCAATTGATTGCAAATGAGAAGTCTCAACGTGCTAAGCTCTTTTGCAATCAATTGTAGCATTATACTCAACAGAAGCAGAGTATGTTACAACAACAATAACTTATATTACAAATTATAATAATCTCATGTAAAGTCAAGTCTAAAAATTACTAGACTACTCATAAAAGAGCTAAGGCCATAGGGTTGATAGATAATCTCAGCTTAATCAAGTCACCTTTTGTACTTAAATCCAAATTTGAGTATCCTTAACAAGAAAAAAGACAATTAGGAGGAAAAATTCAAAGTAAAAGGCTATTTAGGGATTTCAATATTTGTTATTTTGCTTTAAATAGATTGTTTTCTCTAAAGCTAGGATTATCTATCTTTTGTTGAATTTGGGAGTTCTCTGAAGTTTGTTTGGACTCTAACCATCGACTAAGGATTGGAAAGAATGATCTTCCTCTCGAATTGAATATCCATTGTATCTTGTTCATTTTATTCCAAATTTCATCAATTTCGAAACTTTTCAAATATTTGCCTTGAGAGACTTCTTCTCAAATTCAGATTTCTACTAGCTGAAATTCACTTTCAGCAACAAATTATTCAATTCCACACTTTGATCCATCACATTCACAAGCCTTACTATAACCCATATCTACAAATTTCCCATTCAGAATCATTATTGTTCAGAAGGATACCATACATATCTGAATCATTCTTATATCAGACTAAATGACCATATTGCAAAACAAACAAAATAAACCAAAAAAAAAATGAAAATGTAGTATACACTATAAAGTAATTAGAATCCCTCCACACCAGGCCTACGAACTGTTGAAGATGGTGACCTCCTCACAGAACTTGTCCTATATTCCTCCAGTGTGAGAATGGAAGCACAAGTTACAGGAGGTACAGACACTCTCAGTGACATTCTGGGTGAAACTAATGGCTGGGTCGCCGAAGATGGAGGTGAAGGTGAAAAATACATTGGTGGCGTTGGGAGAATTACACCATTAAGGCTTGATGACTTCGACATCTGCCTTCTTGCAACTGATGAAGGTTCTTGCAGAGGATACCCGCAAGGATATTTGATATCTTGTAGATTAATGAGAGCTTCGACGATGGTCCTCATGGTGGGTCTTTCTGAGGGATCTTTTTTAAGGCATTTGAGAGCAATATCGGCCACAGTGCGAGCAGCCTTCGGCGGACACCGCCCTTTGATTCTGGAGTCCATGATAAGGGATAAGCGGCAATCGTCGGCGAGGAAAGGCTTGCTCCATTTGACGATGTTTCGCTCCTCTTTAGGGTGGCGAGAATCAAGATTCTTTCTTCCAGTGAGAAGCTCAAGAAGGACAATGCCGAAACTCCATACATTGCTTTTGGGTGTAAGCAATCCTTTCTCTAAAGTCTCTGAGGATAGATTTGCAGTGGCCTGGAAGAGCAGCAGCCATTATTGATTAGCTTATTGTATACTGAAAAACTCAAATATTTGCATGATCATTCATCAACCTTTATTATAACTATATTGTGAATGCTGATATGCATATTAATCATATAGTTTCATATGAGAGAAGGCCCAAACCTCATGAGCGGTGTTAGAAGACAGGACCTAGGAGAGGATTGAGGAGGAGATGGTGGAGAAAAGAGCTGAGATTAGATTGCTGTCAATCAGACGCCAAAGGTTGTAATTGGGATTGTTCGTGTCGGAGGGAATGGAGGTGTCTCCTGCAACATCAAAATCTGCTCCAGGATCGTCCGGGCTGATCTGGATCGTCCCGGGACGATTAGTGTAAATTTTGCTCCAGATTCTGTACAGAAGTTACAGGAATGATTTCCTGTAGGGATCATCCAGGCCGATCTGGGATCGTCCCGGAACGATCAGTTCATGGCAAAAGTCAGAGAGCAAATCGTCCTGGAAATTAATTATCGTCCTGAGAAATCGTCCCAGACCGATGTGGATTTGTTCAAATCGGCCGGGCCGATCAGAGTATTTTAAAGCTGAAATCAGTCATTTTGAAGAGAGAGAAAAATCAGATATTTTATAAAAAAATCCTTTTGAGGAGAGAGAAACTCGAGGAAAAGATTGGAAAAATTGATTTTCGGACGACGCCGGGCCGTTTTCGTCCGACGAGATTGTTCAAGAAAGTGTTGTACGCAAGGTAAGGCACATTCCGCCTTTCTCAATTTTCAGAACGGTGCAATTTCAACGAGTTTTCTGTCCGGATTTTATTTTTGTTAGCAAATTTCGTCCGTATTTTCCGATTGGTTCAGTTTTTACCGCGTAACTTTTGATATGTTTCTGAGGTGCCGAGTGTGCACATTTTGATTATTTTCTGGAGAATTTCGACTGGGTATTTTTGATTCCGCGGTGTTTTCTTTCGACTGCAATTTTGGGCAATGTCTAAAAATATTGTGGCAGTAGAATAAAAGTCTTATATTATTGCTGTGAATGTTCAGTGGTAATTTGGTAGAATTCTGATTCTGTCAATTTTGTGTAAATTCCGTATACTGCCGTTATACTGCCGGATTTTCGTACGATTTCTGAATTTTTCTGGATTTGCTCTGACATGACATGTTATGATTTTATATGCTTTTGGGAGCCATAAGGGAAAGGTGCTGTAAGCACAAGGGAGCTATAAGGGGAAGTTCTGAGAAGTTCTGTGAAGTTCTGAAATTCTGTATATCTGTTCTGTTCTGATGCTATGAGCACAATTGGGAGCTAAAAGGGGAAGTTCTGGTGCTGTATGCACAAGGGAGCTATAAGGGGAAGTTCTGGTGCTGTATGCACAAGGGAGCTATAAGGGGAAGTTCTGGTGCTGTATGCACAAGGGAGATATAAGGGGAAGTTCTGAAATCTGGAAGTCTCTGAGGATAGATTTGCAGTGGCCTGGAAGAGCAGCAGCCATTATTGATTAAGCTTATTGTATACTGAAAAACTCAAATACTTGCATGATCATTCATCAACCTTTATTATAACTATATTGTGAATGCTGATATGCATATTAATCATATAGTTTCATATGATAGAAGGCCCAAACCTCATGAGCGGTGTTAGAAGACAGGACGTAGGGGAGGATTGAGGAGGAGATGGTGGAGAAAAGAGCTGAGATTAGATTGCTGTCAATCAGACGCAAAAGGTTGTAATTGGGATTGTTCGTGTCGGAGGGAATGGAGGTGTCTCCTGTGAAATGGCCGGCAAGTTCATTCTCCGTGAAGTGCTGGACGCCAGATCGGATATGTGTCAGAGTGAGTTGAGTGGTGACAAGGTTTTTAATGTTTGAAATCATAAGTTTTAGAGGTGCAGAGATGACAAAGGTAGAGAGGGAGGCAAAAAGGGTAGAGGAAGGGCGCGGAAGGGATTCTTGATCCCCATGGCTGCTCTGATACCATGAGAGAAGCGAAGAGGGCAGAGGACAGGAGCAGGAATAGAACCGAGCGAACAGAGAAAATGTATTATTATTGATGTGTAATAGAATACATAGACATATATATATAGAGCTAAGTTAACCATACAAGACACATCATACACAGGTCGCTAACACCATAGTGATTGTTTCTGGTTTTCAAGCCTTTGAAATACCAATAAGGAGAAAAAGTTGAATCTTAGCTATGCAGCAACTTGGTCATTTTTTCGTGATAATATACATCACTTACCACTGAAGTGTTTAAGACCTCAGCTTCTGGAGGATAGCTAATACTTCCATATCCTGATAGCTTTGCACTGAAGTCTTTGTCTACTTGTATGTTGGAAGTTGAGAACTCATGAAACATAGCCTGTAAGAAAAAGGGAACCAATGAGAAAAAGATTGATCATGCACGCATAAATGGAGACAAACGGAAAAAAATTCAGTTCTACAAGGTCAAGTGAGTAGGAGTTTTTTGCTGTGTCTCCTCATAGATGTTAGGACAAGGAATCAAACAAATTAAAATGAAATAGAAAGACGAATATATGGAGAAAAGGTTTATCATAAAAAGATAGCAACTACGACTATTAAAGATTTAAAGATCCATGATTTCATTTTGAGTCTAGACAGATTTTATAATAGGTTGGCTCAAATTGATCTTGATTCAAGCCATACATGGCTTGATGACTTCAATCCAAGTTCAATTTGAGCTAAAAACTGTTCCAATCTTGATTAACTTTCAATTTTCTAAGGCAAATTCTTAAGTAAAGCATCCATGCATACAAGAATATACTTTTTATCCAACCTTGAGTTGGCTCAATCCAACATAGCTCATCTCAAATCAAACTTCACTCAGTAGTTGGCTCATTAAGTTTGATTCGAGCATAATCCGAGCTGAAAACCTGATCCGGTTTTCACACAATCTTCAATGTTTGAGGTAAATTCACAACCCTAGAATTAGGTCATGCTTTATGGTATGGAACCAGAAATTTAACTTGAAAGCACTGCCATATTACTCACTTTATACTAAGTTGGTAAGAAAAATGCTTCTAGTATGATTGCATAGCAATACATAATTCAAACCGGAAAAGCCAAAACAAAAAAAAAATTTAACCAGTGGCTGAACACTAACAAAGCCATTTTTTAAATTAACAGACGCATCAATAGATGAATGCAACTCAAATAAAAACTCCATAAAAGTTCTATAACCCAAATATTTCTTAATTTATTTGACATAAATTCTTAAGCAAAATCACGAGTAGCAGCAATAGCAGAAAGTTTCTTTCAAGAGCATAGAACAGGAGATGGACACTCAAAATTCATGCACAACACAAAGTATTATACTAGAATTATAGTCTCTCACCTGAAAAGGCCCTTCTTCATGCAAGAATGCGAGACCGCGCGCAGCAGAAAGGGCCAGTTTTATCCGTGCAGACCAGTCAATCGCAGGTCCATCAGATCGCGCATAGAGCAGTCGGTCTAAACTTCCATGATAGAGTCTCTCATAGACCAATATTCGTTGATCAGAACCTTCACGAGCATGGAAGCCAAGCAACTTACACAATTGGGGATGTTGTAAAGAGGCTATCGTGTTCACAGCATTAATGAAATCTTTCAGATTCTGCAAGTAATAAATATTCTAGATTCAAGACTGGTCCTTTGTTTTCAATAAATTCATGTAAGATTTGAGCTTTAAACTTGCTCAACAATACTTCTAAAAAAGGAGCTTGACCTTGTAAGCAAAAATATCAGTTAGCTTATGAAAGTGTATAAACAAGCTTATAAATCAAGATACAAAGGTCCTTTTATGAATGCATATATACCCCTCAAATAAGCATTGAAATAAACAAATCATACAAGCGGCTTTAAATGTGTCAAAAGAAGTTTCCCACTCTGAAGCAAATAACATGATCATTGTGCTTGCAAACAAGTTAAAAGAGGATAATCTGTTTATCATCTACAATCCACGGAGGAATCGAGTCACTATAAATTCTTATTTCACTCACCATGTACCACTTCATGTGTATTCTTCAGAAATGTAAGACTTAGGCCATCTCCAACCGAAAAACTCAATTTTCACTCCAAAATATAGTAATACTCCAAAATGCAGTAACTCGTCTTCAATCAAATTCCATTTTCTAACACCAAAAAATGAATATTTTGTGTATATTTTTTCTCATACTTTATTTAACCTAATTTTCAGATTTAAAAAAAAATGCGTGTGAACAATGTGACACTAGCACTGTTCACCCTCACATGAAAGGCGCCATTTTTACCCATTTGCAGGAGCAAACGACAGACGCCCAATGAGTGTTAGGCGTTCGATTGGAGATGATCGGGGCCAGAATTGAGCAAGATTCATCTTAAAGCTTGCCAAACAGATATATGGAACGTTAAATCCTAAATATTTATCCCATTTTAGCCCCGTTATTAATTAAATCCAGTATTTGTTAAATCCCATCATTTATTGGTTTTAATAAATTTAAGGATTTCTAACTCTTACATACCTAAATCCTTAAATAAATTGCCAAATAGTATATAAGGAATCAAGATTTATCTGGATTTAATAGTTATCAATTCACAAAATTCTCATATTTTTAACCCTATCAAGATTTACTAAATATGGATTTGCAGGATTTAATAAATCCAACCTGCAAGAAGCTCAACTATTGCATCTTGTTCAGGGACTTTCATAGGTCTAATTGCAAGGCGCCCGTTATCGATGTGTTCAATTATTCCAATGCGGTATAGGTGAGTACTGATCCATGGATAAAAGGGTGTTTAGAAAAACCATTTACATTTGACTTTTGTTACCTAAAAAGTCCAGACATGCCACAATACAGGTCTGCAACGGCATGCCATGAAATGGCACTTACAGTGCAGCCTATGGTAAAAGCAATAATACAAATTTTAATCACAAAGGAACGCCTTTCATATCAACTTGAAGATAAGTAGAATTACAGACAATACTTAAAAAATACAACAGCCTAAGAAAACCTTTTTGGCATATCATGTAATGATACATATGTAAGTATTACCTGCGAGGAGGGAAGCAAGCGAGTGACCGTGGCTTCAAGCTTCTTTGATCCAATTGAATCATCGCCAAATGTTGCCTTGTACAAAGTAGATGAGATACCTTCAGAAACACACCTATCAGTTGAGAAATGTTGGCATGCAGCAGCAATCTCTTCATAGGTAAAGTTCCGAAGGCCTCCTCCGGCTATGGGAGGCAGAGGCAGGGGACCTGGATTTAGGACATGGTGACCACTAGCAGTAGATTTAAAGCTTCCTATATTCTTCAGTACGCAATTGGCCCGCGGAGATGGCAATGGGAGAGGAACAGGCTTTGAGAATCGCTGCTCTTTTGATGGCTCACCTCGGGCCTTGGATTCTTCTTGGTCATCCAATTCAATAGAAGGAGAAACATATTGATCAACCAAAATTAAGCTTGAAGGAGCAGATAGTGCCCGGGCTCTGCTATTGATTGTTCGGTTGGGTTGTTGAACTTGTTTGTTTCGACCCCTAAAACTTGGAGGTGCAGATTGGAGAGACGGCCCCCGAACTTCCGGTTCAGGAAGGGCGGTGCTGATGTTCTCATTTACAGAAACTAGCTTCCTGCTCAGAGAATATGCGTTTATCTTCTTCTTGCCTCTCAAAACTGTAAAGCAGCCCATCCTGCAACTCCAGAAAGTTCAGTTTCACCAGACAGTGGGAAGAGCAAAAGTGATAATAAACAATCAAGATAAGTTTTTGCATGAAGGACACAAAGAAGCTACAATCAAAGAACAAGCTACTGAGTTTTAGTAAGATGGGATTGACATTACATGACTACTTTATAGCTATGAAAATATAGAAACCCAACCTGAAAACTCAAGAAAATAATGCACTAGCACTGGTAGATAGAGTTACACCTTAGTGTTTTTTTTTTTTGCTTTGCTTTGGGACATTTAACCCAAGATCTCTTGGTTGGTAGCCAAAGCTCCCAACCAACAGACTAAGGTGCGCTGAGTTACACCTCAGTAAAATCCTGAGAAAACTTATCTTATCTTACAGCTCCTTCACTTAATTTCCAAAGCTAACAGGGTGATACCAAACAGATACAAGAAAGGAAAATCAATTAACTTATTTTACTAAGTTAAGTAAGCTAAGATAGCTTTGTCCACCTAACATAATTGTTCAATAAGATATAATCAAATTTCGACTTTTTGGTATCAGAGAAGGCAAGTTTCAGCAAGTGGTCAAATTAAACGGCACAATCATGCTAAATAAAAAACCAAGGGCATCATCACATCAAACCAAATAATCTCTTCCCCAAAAAGTAAGACTTTGCAGCAAAAAAAACACATCCAATTCCCTTCCAATTCTCAATGGCTGCCAAAAACTTCCAAATTTAACAAAGAATATTCGAAATAGCTTACCAACGCACAGATCTTAATAAAAAAGGCAATCCCTCACCAGCTCACATCTTTCAGCATCAGAAAAGTGCAAACCCTAAATCCCTAACCTAAGCAACATGAATCCAACAAAAAAACACACATTTTGCAGACCTACCGATAACCCGTAAGCTTCTCTAGCTCCTCTAAATCCAATTATGGAATGATTTGTAAGATATTTCGCCGAATAAAACCACAAAAAAGAACAAAAACATAGGCAACCTTACCTCCGTAGAAGCTCTCCCGCTTCGCCAATCCAAACGCAAAACAGAGGAATAACTTTGAGCTATCGCCAGTAAGGAACGAGACAAGGAGGATGAAAGAATAAAGGCAGAATGCAAATAACAGATATTTAAAAAATAGTAAATTTAAATGGAGAAAGCAACGTCAGAGGCAGAATACAGAGTTGATGGAGACCAAGCGGCTCTCTGGTCAAAGCCGCAGATATAGCGAAAGCTAAAATGATGACTGCTTTTGGCGTTTTCTCTCTTGCCGACTTCCCAAAATGTCCCGCTTGTTGCGTAAAAATAACTATATTACCACTCCCAGACTCCCAGTGGACTTGTAATCCAGCTAAAAGGGAAATAAAAAAATATATTTAAAATAATATATATTTTTAAGATTTACTCGAATATTATTTAGAGTTCTAGTTAATGATGAGTGGTTAGCTTTTATCCCTCTTTTTTTTTTTCCTTAATTAATATTAATATAATTAGCTATCTATCCCACCTCTTTATACGTTGTTGTTGGAGAAATTTTCTATTCGGATCATTTTTTCTAATTCTTCAGAACGACTCTTCTCATTATAAGAGCTGGCGTTTTCAATTTAAAAATTACTGGACCCATAAAAATGATTAGACACTCTCCTTAATGTTTTCTTGGAACCTTTTATTGGTAATCCGATTGTGAACTTTTGTCACAAACTTGGCAAGATGAAGAGTTGTATCAAATCTAAAAACAGGGCCTCCTCCACTGTTATTGAAGAAACTTTAAGGAAGTTGCATGATAGGCAAAATTTTTGCCTATACCTTCTGAAATATGATCCTACTATTGTGCAACTCAATGCTGACCTTAAAGTCATAAATTTCGAAATTACTGTTCTCACTGATTATTGGTCCTCTTGGATTATTCAAAGATTCAAAGACCTAAGACGAAGTGGTTAAAGCATGAGGAAGATGATATTAATTTTCTTTATTTGAGAATTCGAATAAGGAATAACTACAATGGTGCTTCTATTATTTCG